TAAATTAAATTATAAAAAAATTAAAGAAATTACATAAAAAAATGAGAACTTTTAAACAGTTGATTTGATATTAACATTGATATATTTTTTTTAAATTTATATTTTATTCAAACATAAAATAATGATTATTTTTTCTTAAAAACACATAAAATCGTATTATAACATCGACAGAGATAAAAAAATAAAATAGAACATTAAAATCAAGATGTATTTCGTTGTATTGCGTGAGTACCCTTCTAGTACTATTGAATATTAGAAGGATACTCATGTAATACAGCAAGATACATCGAGATAATGTTTCGTTTTATTTTTTGTCTATGTCGATATAATACGATTTTAAGTGATTTTAAGAAATCGATAGTGTTTATATTCATAAAAATTTGAAAAAATATATATATCCATATTAGTGTAGTTAATCTTTTCTTTTTAATTCTTGTGTTGTGGTAAGTGTAATTCAATGATTGTTCTAATTATATTTTAAATTTTTTATATTTAAAATGATATGTTTATCATGTAGTTGATTATGTTTATCAACAGTTAGTTATACGAATTCAAAGATGAAGCTTTAATAAGTTGTAATTACGCACAACTTACTTGTAATCTCGAATTTTAAGTAATATGCATCAATAAACAATATTTTATGCACAAAATGGTTTTTAAGAATGTTTGTCAAATGTTTTATAATATAGTATAGATTTAGGGGTTGTTTGTTAACCTCTTAATAGTTCAATTAAAAGAAAGTATTTGAATCGTTAAGAGATGAATTTTGTTTGACAAAAAAAAATGGCTCTCTTAATGGTTCTAAAACCCTCTGAATGATTATGGATCATGGGCCTCCCTTAACCATTAAACACCTTAATTTCATTATAAACACTTAGGGGCTGTTTACCAAATTTTCTATTAAGTTCTATATGGATAAATTTGTCTTTCTGGATAAATTTATGTTGTTGTTTACTTTTCTATCTGAATCAATAGTCTGAATAACATAAATGACTAATTTACCCCTAAGAGAATGAAATCGATAAAACAGAAATCACCTAGGGTTTCTTTCTAGCAGCAAAGAAATCGAACACAAGCATGAAATCGAACAAACTCATGAAATCGAACACAAGCAAGCAAACAGAAATCGAGCAAACTCATGAAATCGAACACACTCATGAAATCGAACACAAGCATGAAATCGAACACA